AAACACGACGTAAGAATGAAATATGCTGTATAATTTTAATATTTTAACACTTAACGTTTATCAGTATATATGATAAATATATATTTTAGTTATTTTAGTATGTATAGACAAGGCATGCAATGAACTAGTTTGTCGTGGATTGGATCAGCACCTGAAGATGGCACATTTGTGCCGAAACATGTAGTGATAGTGAGAAGAGGGGCAGATGAATGTATGCACTAGAAGACGGATAAAATAAATCATGGAGTAATTTCACATTTTATATAGTGTATTGGACAGTTGGTGTCACTCGGCCTATTGGTCTGTGATAATGGATGCAGGAAGATTTTCTTAAATATCAGAGTTTTTATTCCTTACTGCCACAGCTGATCACTTATGCATGAAAGTGATTCTTATCTGCTTCATGTAATAGGCAGTTGTCATTCTGTGTGTAATGCAGCCAACAAACTGTTGGCAGAAAGACCGTGTATGTACTCGTGTACCTTTAGTAATTGGCTATTATCAAGGCCAATCCTCATGACTTGAAAGAACAGGAGAATGCAGTGTTAGATTGAACATTAACGTCGTTGAGGATCATATTCTTGTGGCTTCATTTTGATGATGAGAAGCAGAATTGGGTTCTAAAATGCAAGTTAGTCAGACTGCCAGAAGAATGGTGCTGTTCCTTGAAAGTTCTATTACTACTTTCAGTAAAGACATTCAGAAGGTTGGAGATGGTTAGTTAGTTAGTTAGTTAGTTATTTAGAGAGGGTGGGTTTCCCCATGCACCGCGACCAGTTTTGATCTATTGTGCTTCCCTCTATGATATTCTATCAGTCTCCTTACCGTACCGATAAATGGTGCGTACTATCAGTCCCGCCGAGCAAGCGAGTTCGGCCACTTGCTTAGCGGTGTCTATAATGCTTCCCCCATCTATCAGAGGCCTTAGAGGCTATTGTTGGGCGGGAAACGTCCTGGAATTTGGCTCAGTGATCCCCTTTGGGGATATGAGGTTCTTTTACGTGCTGTAAAGTTACGACACGGGACACACAGCTTAAAGTCCCTCCCGGAGGACTTGTTCCCTGAATTTTTCTGCCCTTAAAAATTCGACGACCTCCGCTGGGTATTTGAACACGCGTACCACGAGTCATGAGGTGGGAACGTTACCTCTAGATTACGGAGGCCGCTTTACTATTAGTACATATTTTAAATTGCAAAATTACAAGTGAACACAACCATTTTGATGTCAGGTTATGTAAAAAAAATGCCTTTTGAATCAAACACAGGTGTGCAATATACTGTTTTCAGAACACAGATACAGGAGAAAGAAACTCGTAGATAACAAAATGGCTTTACTGCCAGAGTGTTGGCTACGTCCTTATTGGCTAATATATTTTTTCTAAGACATAATGCAACACTTCATGTGAAAGCTAAATATCATTTGTAGTCCATTGTTTGTGTGTATTCACAACTCTGCAGAGCATCCATCCCTCTGTATGCCTGAAACAACTTGAGAAGCTTGAGAACCATTGAATGGATTTTCATGAACTTCATATTGGGGAGTTATAATAAAATTGTCAGCATATTTTAGAATCAGGAAAAAATAATAGATACTGAATGAAGACATGCTGCGTTGCTGTGGATATCATGCCAAATGTTTATTAAATCAAAAGAATGTTTTAAAGGAAAGTTGTAGTAAAAAGAATGTAAAGCTATCCCTGTAACAGACCGTGAAGGCCCATAAGGTTGTGAGACATTGAGGTTCCCACATTATCTATACAATCTGCTCAAAGATGGCGGTAAAGTTGTCAGCCTTATGTGCCAGCCATGCTTTACTCCCCAGGAAAATTATTTAATTAATCCCTGGTACTCATTTCTGTTAGAGGCTGAGTCAAACCCAGGGCCATAATGTGGCTAGAAGGAATAGGTCAATTGAAAAATCCAGTGACCTTATTGGGGCTTGAGCCGACGACCTGCCGGCTTGTAGCATAGCCCATCAACCAAGTACGCTACCGCGTGCCACCCTAGAGAAAAATTGTAGAGAAAAATGAAATACACATTTTATGTTCTGTGCAGTTTGTCCATAAGTCACAGAATTACTGGGTTTTTGGACTTCTTCCATCATCCAGAATTCTAGAATTCACAGTAATTCTGTGTGTTGTCCAGCATTTTCAGAACCCTTTAGAATCTGCTTGTCCATAAGTGTCTGACATGATTACAACAAAGGGACTTGTTCTTACATTTTTTAACTTGTGAATTCTACAATATACAGCTATCTTCTAAAGGCTGTTATTCTGATTAATATTTAAATACAGCTACCTACCACTTGCATATATACATCCATGTGAATGTAAGTATATATTTAATTAAAACAAACTTGATCATGCTGCTATAGTAATTTATTCTCAGTCACAATAGGCAGATCTACAAGAAAAGGAAGGCTTCAGTCATTCCAGCAAAAGATCCCAAGTAAAAAAGAAGAGTGTCCTGACTGAATTTAGATTGTGTGAGAAATCGGATTAACTTTCTAGGCCCGTGTTCTGAAAATACATTAGAAACTTTTGCCTCATGATCGTTGTTGTTTTTAATGTAACAGTGAGTTGGAAGCTTTTGTGTGTGAGCTAAAAGCAGAGGATTGTTTGCAGTGCCCACATGCAAATGTGCCTGCATATTGTTATTGGCCAAGGGATCATCCTATAGTAACGTCTTACTTGTGATGTCCAGAATAAACGGTATTAGTAATGCCATATGTTACTGCACTCTGTGGTTAGTGCCCGCATGCATGACTAGCAAGTGGCACCCAAGGCTTTATGGCAAACTCGAGGTCATCTTACCAGATCAAAACCTTATCACAGAGATGTGTTCTTATTCAGAATAATTTTGAATGGCTTAGTTAATGCCACATTTCCAAGTAGAGGAATCCAATGTTTTCCTGCTTCAAATTGCATCTTTTAGCAAGAGAAATTTGATTTTTTCTTCTTCTCTTTTTTTTTAAGTGTATATTGTCTCATCATAGTAGATGTATTACTGACTTTGCAAGAAGCCTTTCTTTACAGCTCAGATTTGTGATTAATAGATGGTGTTATGCCTAGTTAGACCACCTCCGTGGTCTAGTGGTCAGAGTTTCTGTCTACAGATCCAAAGGTCCCGGGTTCGATTCCTGACGCTACCAGATTTTCTGAAGTAGTGGGCCTAGAACGGGGTCTACTCAGCCTTGTGACGATAACTGAGGAACTAGTAGCGGCTCCAGTCTATAAAACCGAAATTAACGGTCATGGGGATTCGTGGTGGTGACCACGAGATACCCTCTATCTCCTAAAGTTGGCACTAACTTCGCCGACAAGCAGCGGTCGCTCGGTCAGTGTAGATCACTTGTGGACTAAAGCCACAGAGTTTGTTTTGTTGCTGTTATGCTTAGTTATCCAGCCTTTAGCTAAATCGCTTAGATTTCAGATATCCTGGTCATGGTTCTTTCAGCCCGTTGGCATGCCATTTATTATTAGGTGGATTAAAAACTCTGCTACTTTATGGAATCAGCTTATATTCAGAATGAACACAGTAGTGCTTGTACAAGCTGGAGTATGGAAAGGAGTATCATATAATTTGAATTGCAATGTTGGCCATTTTCCATTGTGTAAAGTTTATTTAATATACAGAAACTTTCAGAAATTGGTTGTACTCCCAAATTTATGTGATTAGTTGTTAGTATGCTAACATATTTCTTGTGTGGGTTATTTCACAATGCTGTGAGTATCTAGACTGCATAGTCTTAATTGGTCTGATGATTGGTGAATAATACATTGGAAAGGATTTGGCATTTGCCTGGAGGGATTGATGAAAACCACAGAATACACTAGTCTGGATAGCTGGTGTCATGGACAAGATCTGAAACATGCACCTTCCAAATACACGTCTCTTAGAGCGTTACTACTTCAACCCACTTAGTAACAGATATTTTTATTGTTTTTATGTTTGTTGCAGTGGTCAGGATTAAACTGAGTACCCTTATGGTTTGTCTGGGTTAGCAGTCAAAGACATGGGTTAAATCCTGATTGTTTTCACTAATATTGGAAATAGAACAAGTCCGTATAATGGCAACCAGTCACCTGAAGACAGTAGTGTCTCACTGAATATTATGCATATTGNCCGGTAACATAAACACGTTACAATATTAAATATACATGTGACAATGGATATTGTCCATTGTAATTACAGGATAATGAATTGACCATTATCACAGACTTGAGAAAATAATACTTTAATCGTCACATGTGGATGATGGGGCAAATGGAGAGAGATCAGTGAAGCTGTAAGGTACCATAAGCATGTGATTGTTCATATTGTGCAGTCATACTCATGTTCTTTTGCAATGTCATGGTAACATTTGCTGTCACTGTGCATACCAAGGGAGAAAGGTGGCAAGTTTTTTTTTATTGTTAGTGGGGTGGGACTAAGTCCCTTGTACTGCGGCCACTTCTGGCCTATTGTACCAGCCCCAGATGATAGGCGAGGGTGATTGTGCAGCAATTGGTGGAATGAAGATTGGCAGGGGAAACTGAAGTACTTGGAGAAAACCTGCCCCAGCGCCACCCTGTCCACCACAAATCCCACTTCACCAGACCCGGGATCGAACCCGGGCCGCCGCAATGGGAAGCCAGCGACTAACCGCTTAAGCTATGGCACGGTCTAAGATGACAAGTTACATTGTTCTGAAATAGCATGTCAGCAGTGAAGGAAGTAAGAAATGAGATGTTAGCAATTCTACAAAATATTTCTGAACTGTTATGTGATGGTGGTGTACTCATGTACGTAGTGTTGGCCCACTACCTGTTTGTAAGGTGTTCACCTTTTTTCGTTCTTTTTTTTTCTAAATGAACTTGTTTTGTAGTAACATTAGTGTTTTCAACATTTAAACAGGTGATGTGGAGCTGTGACATGTGTTAATGTTCTTCTCTGCTGCACAGATGACAGTAACTTTTTGACTCTTCTCTTGAAATGACATTGATGACAATATTTTTATGAACTGCGCATTTGAGTGTTTCAGTATACAAAATGATATTTTGAAAACCAGAAACAGAGATAAGTACTGAGCCTTTCAGTCACCCTAAATGAAAATTTGTTACAAGGAATATCAGTAAGATGTCATTCTCCAGTAACCCTTCAAATTCTGGGAGTCACTGTGCTTGTTGCACTGATTCATATAGTCTGGTAAAACATTTTAGATGCATCAAGTTTTGTCATTTGGAGCACTGACTTGTGACCTTGTGAACAATTACATTCTTGTGTATACTTTCAGAAATTTCTATGGTCAAGATACCAGTAAGATCATCCTGAAGAAAGCAGACTTTCTGGTTTCTTTTCTGTGTGTGTGTTTTTTTTTTTAATTTTAAAAGAATGCCTTTTTAATAACACACCAGAAGCTGTGAAGATGTGGTAAGTTTCTGCCCCTCCCAAAATGTCACTGACCCTGACACAAAGAACAGAAAATGTCTAATAGTTGAGTCTCTCTTCTATTTTGAAGTCATAAATGCATAATATGGCACATTCGTGACTGTGCCATGTTGGGTCCATTGATAAAGAATCCCGGTTTTAAAAAGAAATCGAAGTTATGGGTTTATTTTAACCCATTGTTTTAGTTGGGTTGCAGGTTGTTACAATCAATGGCAATTTGCCTGAGCAGGAGACGTAATGATATTAGTGTATGAGAGGTTAATAGTCAGCCTAACTGAAAGACATTGTCTGTTCTTTCTGTCGCAGGGTACGGGTGAAAGACATAAATGAGGCATTTCAAGAGTTGGGGCACATGTGCATGGTGCATCTTAAAACAGACAAAGTTGAATCCAAACTTAAAATTCTGCACCAAGCTGTTGAGGTTATAACCACATTGGAGCAGCAAGTAAGAGGTAGGAGCTATAAAACATATGGCTCAAGATGCTTGCCCGTCCACAAGCTTTGCCCTGAAGCCATGTTATATTGTTGCTGCCTCATCAGGGGGGTGACACAGATGTTCTATTCCATAGTATCGAAAATAAGAGAGTTCTTGCAGAGGTCCAGACATCCTAACCAACACTGTCAGGCATGTCGACGGGCAAGGTGTCTTGCAGTTGTTTTTATGTGGCATGTGCTTATAGGATACGGATCCGTGACATCAACGAAGCACTGAAGGAACTTGGGAGGATGTGCATGACACACCTCAAGACAGACAAGCCCCAGACAAAGCTCGGCATCCTCAACATGGCAGTCGAGGTCATCATGAACTTGGAGCAACAAGTCAGAGGTCTGCTGTGGTGAACTATTTGATGTAGCAAAGAATAATGCATGCACCTCAATTCCAATTTCATGAATCTTATTAAAAAAGTCCTGAATTTGGAGGTGACCTCATTATCATACCTTGAACAATTTCAGTATGGTAGTATTTCAAAATTTGAGGTGGGGGCAGTACTAGTTCCATTAAATGTACAGTTTGAAAGTTTCATTGGAGATCACCAGATGTTATGTTTTCAACAGTTCCAATATGAGAGCATGTAAAGTTTTGAGGTAGTACCAACCAAATTCCCATTGCATGTATGACTATGAAAATGCATCCAATATAAACTTTTGCTTCCTGTCTTGAAGGTCATCATGCCATAGGACTGAAGAGCTGTCCACCTTTTATGTACATCAGTCCCTCATTAACCACTGAGGTTACATTACTGAAAACACTGTTTTTGACAAGACCAAGGTCTTACTGGAATTTGTGGTTAGGGGAACTGTACCCAGTGCAGTGCAATTCCCCTAACTAAGTGTAAGTAATATGTTTGAAAGTAGTACATAAATGTAATAATTAGTCACACCACAATCATAACTTTGGAGCAAGAGAAATGGTTTTGGATATCATAATAAGTCTCCCCTCCCAAGCAGATGTGGCTCTTTTGATGACAGGATGACTAATTTTTCTGTGCCCAAAAACTGAATACATGAAGCCAAATGCTGTAGTTAGCAAAATTGGATGCAAATGGAAAACTGTGGATGCTTGAAATCTGTGGTTGATGGTGGATTTCTGTATATACTTTATTCTAATTGGATGCTGGGACTCATTTGTGATCCACTCTACCATAGAGTAAGAACATCTAGCCAAAATGAATATACCTAATTAAAACTGGGTAATACATAAAGTAGAGGGAACTGTGTCTAAATCTCCTGACATATGTAGTGTTCTGTATATACTGTTTATTATGTCACTTGTATGGTGCCTACCCAGAAGACACCAGAGGCTCTTCTAAGGAGGCCTAAGTCTTCCTCATCTTCTTTACTTGCACTGCAACCCTGTGTGAGTCCTGGCCTGCTCCAGAGTCCTCCTCCCGTTAGTGAAAGTCTAGCTCTCACTCCCTCTCCACAGGTTTCATAACAGTAGATTATTCTGGAGTGGGATCATTAGCCCCATGCCTAATCCCAACATGTAGGACCAGGGACTACTCTTTGTCTGGCCTCTACCTTTTGACCTGTCTGGTGTGGATGAGTACCAGGAGCTTACTCTCCTACCAGCACTGCTGTTCAGGTCACTGTGGCACAGAAGTTCCTTGCCATGATAAGACAGTAGTAGGGGATGTAATAAAACTCAGTATTGTCTCAAGTTAATTATAACTTATTCACTTAGCAGTTACTGCTCATCACCCTTATCAAAAACTCAGTGTATGGTGTATAGCTATTTTATTTTTTAATTTATGGGATTGGTTCATTGAAACAGTTCTATGGGTTATACAGCCATATTGGCAATAATTTATTCATATTTCTTCTGCAGTACAGTAACATAGCCCCTCTTACAGGGGGTCCTCTTATGACTTCTATAACCATTGCACTACAATGAAGGGAGAACTGTCCATTATTTTTAAGACAGAAAATATACCTGTCATACATAACTTTCCTTCTATTCTTTAAAAGTATTTTTTAAGTAAGAAATCTGTATATTATAATAGTCTGCTGCAAATAATATTGTGGGGTTTGTAGTAACACTTGAACAAAATATTTTTGATTTAGTTTATTTCTGTATCTTTAACAGTTACTGGTCCAGAACTTTTTGTTTAATATAGTAGTCTAATCCAAATAAATTTTGAAAACATTCTGACTTACGATAGTTTTGTTTTGAAGTGATTGTTATATGAACAGAATATGAAGATTTCCATTAATGAATGTTAGTTTCTCATAACAGATTCCAAAAATGTGACATAACAGGAGAGAGTACATTAAAGCAAAAATTGTAACAGAATAGAGTATCAGGGCTGTGCCACCATAGGATTTGGTAGTACAAAATGTGTCATTGAATGCACCTTTGCAGTTGCCTGGAAACTGCTGAACACAAAGCATATGAAGTAATCTTCACACCTGTCAAGCTTTCAGATTTGTATGATATTCCAGGATGGTTGCCTGGTTTTTCATGGGAAAGAGAGAATTCTTGAGCAGGATGAATTATTTCCATTGTCTGCATTTGAGAAGTGTGCATAAGGGTGCATGAAAACACCATGACAGATGTGCCAATCTGAATGTTAGAAGGGAGCAGAATGCCGAACACTGATAGTGTGAGAGGGCATACCAAACATAAATTTTGTAATGTTTTCCTTCTGTAGAACGGAACCTAAATCCTAAAGCAGCATGTTTAAAGAGGCGAGAAGAGGAGAAAGCTGAGGATGGTCCTAAGCTGACAGGACACCACCTGGGCCACCCTGGCGCACCCCACATGGCACAGCCACCCTTCCCAGCAATGCCTGTAAGTATATTTCCAGAAGTTCATGTGTCCTGTAATTAAATAATAAAAATATGGGACATTAGTTTAAAATCAAATTCCATGTTCATGTCAGATGAATGAGAACATAATCTAATGTAACTTCTATGGAAGTGTATTGTCACTTGTAAGGGTGCGTGACTGTTAGACAGGGTGTGGATTGGATTACAAAACAATTCTGTCCAATGTGACTGTTGAAGCTTTTACTACTTCACTTCTTAGCACCTTAACATGTTTCGGTCCCTATAGACCATCATCAGAGGGAACATCAATACTTTTAGAAACTACTATTACATTGGGTGTTTTGATTTTTAAAATACATAAATATATAACATTTGTAATATATACTTCATACAAAATCCAATTGGATTTCTAGTTTCTAAAAGTATTGATGTTCCCTCTGATGATGGTCTATAGGGACCGAAACATGTTAAGGTGCTAAGAAGTGAAGTAGTAAAAGCTTCAACAGTCACACTGGATGGAATTGTTTTATAATTTGTAATATTGTTAGTGTGACGGACCAGAATGAAACAAATCAAAAGTGTGGATTGGATGTTTGGATTTATTGCACTTATACTCTCAACTCATAATTACAAGTAATAAACTGCTACTGTTAATCTCTGCACTTTACTACACACACACACACACACACACACCAGTGTCCCCAGGCCACTACACTCCATGAGTCATTTCCTGGCAACAGATTTTTAAAGCTGTAACAATAACAGTCTCACTGTTACTGCACACTCAAAATATTACTGTACTACAGCACACATAGAGACTTCTCTTCTGCCAAACTTTCAACTCTCAACTGAACTCTCTCAGTAATTCTGATGCCTCAATTCAGTTCTTCAGCTTCCAAGCTTATATCTTAGCAGGCTGCCATCTCAAAACTCAACTGACTCAAACAGTCTTCTTTATCGTTTTTGTAACACCTGCACCACATAGAAAACACAGCTCCTGTACAGCATGTATTTGTTTCTGCGGAAACATGTTTACTCAGTTGTTCCATAGCAACATCTGCATGCATCACATCTCGTATTGTGACACTCCTCTTTTGTTGCATGCAGGCATTGCCTAGCAATGGCTGTTTCTCTGGCTCCGCAGTTCTTGCTTTGAGCAAATACGCCACAGTATTATCAAGTAATTGACCTAACCCAAGACTGATTAAGCCCAGTTAAGCTTTTGACTGAAGAGTTCTTATTTTCCTCCTGCTGCTTAATAGCCTATGGCGATTTAATGAGCCACCCAAATGACTGTCTGGCCTGTGAGAATGCTGAGACCTCAGATTGCCAATGTAAGGGATCATTGGAAAGTACAATCTGGACATAATGGTAACTGAAGCACAGACTGGTTTCTTTTTGATCACATAAAGGTGAAGTCCCTGTGCTTAAATAATTAAGCACTATGCCATGAAGGCATATGGGGGAGTGGATATATAGATCCACATTTCTTTGTCCTCTACAGCAGGTGGAAGTGGTCAGCTTCACATCATGGCTGCTTTACACCCGGGGAAAGAGCCCCCAGTACCCATTGGTAAGGAGGCTGGGTGGGCCTCAGAGCCAGTCTGGACAATGTGAAAATAAAATTCTTTAACCTACTGGGAACTGAACTCCAACCCCTCCTCTGTCCAGCTTGTAGCCAGTTGCTATACTGACTATGCTATCCAAGCATTAGTAAAAAGTTCTTTCTGAAGTTACAAAAGAAGCCATTCAGAACAATAATGTCACACCAGTGACCTGGTATTATATATGACATCCTGTCACTAACACACACTGCCCTCTTAACTGACGATATGAATCTCCTGTGCACAAATAAATCTGTACCTAATTGGTAATTCTCATTCCCCTTTCCGTAAAAAATTTATATTCACCACTGGTTTGGTGCCACTCATGTCCCATATGACCTCCCACTAAATCTAACCTGTATTTTGATATTTCCTTTGCATTCCACGTACCAAACTTCATGTCCATTTTTCTTAGCTTAGGTTGTTTATCCAAGGAATCCATCCAGGTCTGAGGCTGTTGGTAACATTTTGTAACAAGCTTATTTTATATGGTGAGTTGTTAGCCCCACACCAAACCCTCAAGCTGGAAGCCTACCCCATGTTAGTGATCCACAACTACTTATTCAGTATATTCGTAACTACCTTCTATATCTGGAGGCCATCTTCTCCATCTGCAACGTAAGGACCCACTTGACATGGAATGTTACATAATATGACACTGAAAACTGGACAAAGTGATATGAAAATGTTGTTTATGTCACAATATAAATGAAAATTATTCACATAACATTCCATCAGAATGTATTTATCAAGAGCGCTGTTGTTCATGAGCAGATAGACATTGTGTTAGCTCTTACTTAGCGGCCTCCGTAGTCTAGAGGTAACATTCCCACCTCATGACTCCTAGTACACGGGTTCGAATACCCGGCAGAGGTCGTCAAATTTTTAAGGGCGGAAAAATTCCAGGAACAAGTCCTCCGGGAGGGACTTTAAGCCGTGGGTCCCGTGTCGTAGCTTTATGGCACGTAAAAGAACCTCATATCTCCAAAGGAGGTCACTGAGCCAAATTACGGACGTTTCACACCCAGCAGCAATCTCTAATACCTCAGGTAGATGGAGGAAGCATTATAGATACCTCTCAGCTAGCAGAGCCGGTCTCGCTGGCTGGGCGGGACTGATGGTAAGCACCAATACCGGTAGGATATAGAGACTGGTAGAATATCATAGAGGGAAGCACAATGGACCAATACAGGTGTCAGTGCATGGGGAAACCCACCCTCTCCAATAACTAACTAACTAGCTCTTACTTTTTTATAGCTGGACCTCTTAAAGCCTGAAAGCTCCAGGTGAAGACTTTTACTTTATTAATATATATGCATTAACATGTTTCCTTGTCACATTTGAAGTTGGTCTGATATAGATGGTTCATAATTTGCTTGATTATTTGTGTCTGTTTGTTAAATGTGTTTTACCTTAATATGAAGCTAATATCAGCTTTTTTTCTCTTTATAGGGTCCACCTTTACCACACAACCCATCTCAACCCCAGTAGCAGAGGGGGATGGTTTTCAAACTCCCACCATTTTACGATTCCAGGCAAATACCATGGAATGGGACTTGATTTTGCATCAGGGGTGGGAACATTCTTGTAACTGTGAACAGCAGTGTGTGTGTGTGTGTGTGTGTGAAATACAGCAGCGCACAACACGGGCACAGACTGACATGTTGCTGGGGGAATGAACTAAGTGAAGAATTTGTTTTTCATTTCACCCTTTAGAAGGGTGTTATTTAGAAAGGATTAACTTCTTCACCCCTCATAAGAGGCAGCATTGTTATCAGCAGTCCGTTTCCTAACCTAATCATGTAAGTATATCAGAAACAGAGGCACAATCACACATCTTGGCCAGTACATCGAGAAGAAGGAGAAAGTGTATTACACAGGGAAGAATGACTGCAATATCCCTTGATATTGGAAAACAACAATTCCTACCACCTTGAGTTCATTGTTCCAAAAAATAAATATAAATATATATAATTTTTTCATGATGCCATTTACAGACACGTTTTCCTATCAGCAAAAGATGAAGCCATATTATGATGTCCCAATTTTGTTATTATATTTTAACTTCAGCTGCCTTAACAATAATCCCCTCCCCTCCTATCCTATATTATGTACATTATCATATTTTATAGTTTTTATTATTAAGTGCGACAATATAAAGGAATGTTGGAGGAGCGTGAAGATAGTGGTGATGTTTATTGAAGCCTTCCGACTGGAATTTTTAGTGTGTGAGAGACGATGGTGGAAATGAAAAGAGTTGCAGTAGATTATTGCCTTTATACTAATTTTTTTTGGAAGAGTAAAAGAGAGTGTATGAAGGTCTTTTTCCTTCAAAAATCGGCACACTTAAACGTCCCAAGAGCATGAAGTGAAAGGTGATGTGGAAAGAAACATATTGTGAAAGTTTTCTTAAGTTTTACCATATATTGCTATGAAAGGTTTTAGAAATTAACCCTTCTTTGTTTTTTAAGGAGACGACAAACATTAGGCACGACAGTGACGGATATTGTGAAGTGTTAAAACTTCTTTTGAGACATTTTCATAGCTAAGAAGATGATGTAGGGTGTGTCTGCTTTGTAATTTTCCAACACTGTCAGTGAGCTGAAATGAAATGGATTTCTGAGCAGTGGTTTGTTGGATGTGTTACAAATGTGATAAGCTAATGGGATTTGGTTTGAAGTAAATGTGTGGAAGAGGTTACAGAGATCTGGGGAGGGTGCTATTTTTATTTTTAAATATTAACTTTTTCATTCAGTGAGAAATATGTTTTTGGTGAGTCATAGCTGCACCAAGCAAAGAGCATACAAAATATTGAACCGAAGAAAGAGTGTTTTAAAATAATAGCCCACAGGTTTCAAAGGCAGTCTTAATCACCCCCACATATGAAATCCTTTAAAAAATTTTGCTTTGTTCTTTTCAGCAATTTCCAGTATTTAAGAAATCAGATGATGTGTTAACTGGATTATAATATTTAATCATGCCATACTTGAATAGCAACAAACCTTTCATCATTTGTTTTCGTAAGGAGGCCAAGTATATAGAGTAAATTATGGAGTCCACAATTTTCATTTATTTACAATTTCAAGCTAGGCATGGAAAAATATTACTTGTTGGTGGTTGAGTTTAAATGTACCAGTTGTATTTAAACCTCTGAAGTTATATGTGGAAGACAGATGATGTTGATGCTTAGATTTGCATCGTTATAGCTTTTGCAGCATGTAAATTGTCTGTTTTTCTTTTCCTTAACTTCTCAACGTTTTAATTTATGCTTGAAATATACTTTATCCCTGTTGCTGTGAAGTGGATTACATACTGGTAAGATTTATTTGCTTGGTTGGGCAAAATTTATTTATTTATGACTGTTCTCATGCTTCATTTGTTTTGATGTTTTGATCTACTATGGTTTTGAACACTGGCCACCATTGACTTGTCATATTCTTGGCTTTGCTGATGGTCATGGCCCTCGTGCAGGCTTCAGTATGCAAGGATATTGATCCTTTATTTAACTGTAATGCTATGGGGAATTTGGAACCAAGAAGCAAAGTGTGCTCATATCATATTGTGTTACTGGGATGATCATAGCCTCATCATTGATTGCTTTCCACAGAATAAGTTTAAAGTAGAAGTTTGTAAAGGAAAACAGAAAGTGATGAAATTGTGCCCATGTTCTGTGGAGACCTACTGAACTGTAACCAGAAAGAATTATGTAGATTGTGTAAGGACTAAAATACACTATCAGCTGCCTGCTTTACCAGCTTTGCTTGGTTTGGTAACGTAAGCAATCTTTGGGAAGGTACTTTTGGCTGGGTATTCCAGATTTTACTTGTGTAAGATTTAGATTGTTATATTCGGAATGTAACACTGTATACATTATACCCATCAATCAAACTACATGATGTCACATCTTATGGGACCATATCTTGATACTGTCATGAGAATCTTAACTGTCACATGTCAGATTTGTTTAAATTTTGTGTGAGCTCTTAGTAATCAGTGACAGACAGAAGTGAAGTGCTCTTAAAATCAAATATCATCTTATGATTTGCTGCTTGTTCCCAAATCAATATTTAATGAAACTTAGTGACACTTCCCACAGGAGAATATAATATAGTTTAATAAATAAATTTTATGTTAATAAAATTGGTCGGTTCCTTTCCTTACCCATTAATTATGTTAGCATCTCATTGTGCCTTGTTATTCATCATATTCCAGTTCTGTCACTTATATTTTGGCATCTTTGCACACTGGAACATTTATTTTTAGTTACAATTTGTTATAGAGTCATTGTTTTAAGTACAAGAATAGTATGTGTCTGTGCATATACATTTATATACACACGTTGGACTGTAGCATTTCTCAGTCTTATTTGATGTTTTGGAACCACTTTACAATATAGAGACTGCACATGAGCATGCAGTACCTGTAGTACCAGCACAATCATGATGTAAACCATAGTCATTTAAATTAAAGAAACTAAGTAAATTAACTTAATGCTACCTGTCTTAGCAAATTCTGATTTATTCGGAAAGTATCGAAATATGAGAATGAAATTGTTTGTCTTCATTTGGCTACTGAACTACAGATTCTGTTTGCAAATAGTGTAAATGTGCTGAAATATTGTGCAAGTAAAAGAGGCATAAGTATTTTATTAGTGTGTGGTTATGATAGATCGATGTTTCTGACAGAATTCCACATTATTGGCATACTGAGGAAGTTATTTCATCAAAACTTTATATATATCACTGTTCATTATTTCACTGAGTGTCTGTTGCAAAGTTTATATGCTATGCGAACCAAGGTACATAATACCTTGTGGAAGAGAAGTCCTGTATAGGTGCACATGAGAGAGAGAGAGAATATGTTTCCCACTGTTGTTTGAATACTGAAAGCATGTTGAACATAGGCTCTAGTAACTTTCTAATGATATAACTGTCTGTCATGGACTGGTGATGACATGCCTTGGGAACCGACAGTGTCATGTACTGAACCGCAAGTTTGATGCAGTTGGTATTCTTAATTCCATCCCTTTGTGATCATGCAGCTCCTCACCCTTACTCTCTTCTTATTCATTTGTCATACCATTCAAAATGGAATGGTCATTGTCAGTTTTATGTATAATTTGGATCTCAGTTTTGCTGCTTTTCTTTTAAATAAGACTGAATGCTGGAACATATTGAGAAAGCTTTGTTCATGCTGCAAATACTGTTGCAAAATTGGTGACATAGATGTTGCCTGTGTATATGCTTCCACAAAATTTATTGTGTTGTGGTTTCGCATGTTATGGTCAAGTATGTAACAGTGCAGTTAAAGAAGTAAACAGGATGTGTGCTGGTATGCTAGCTCTTCATTTGATATTCAGACGTAGGTATCCAACTTTCTTTCCAAGCCTGGTCACTTTATGCTATATATTGAGGTTTTCATGGCAGTGAAGAAGTGAGGAATGGTTTCATGGGTTATGACAATGTGCAGTCTGGTAGGTGGGTCACCTTAGGATAGGAAATGGAGGCACTATATTAGTGTACTAACCCACCTGAGTACTCAGTGCTTATGTTTTATGTTGCAAGAGAGAAAAGTTGGGCCCAGATACATACAAAATATTAAGTATACCTCATTGCTGTCAAATGCAGCTGATAGAAGAGGATTGACATTGTCTCTTCCTGGTTTCAGGTCAGCATTCTTGAACTTGGACATAATTGAACATATTTTCTGTAGGTGGTGTATAGTTTGTAGTTGTATCAGAAAGAGTTGATTAAAAAATCATGTTATGTAAAGAAAACATTCTCAAAACATCTCAGCGCTTTACAACAGCACATTTAAAAAGTTTGTCATTGTGCTAGTAATTGTACATACAATAGGAAATTTTGTTTTACTTACTTTTATTTGTTTTTTATTCTTACTCTAATGATAGTACCTGAGGAAATTAAATTGCAGCTCAAATAATAAAACTTAAATTGTAGGAACGTTTGCTGTCAAATTGGTGCACAGGTTTTGTTTATGTAGCACAGAGAGTACATATTCTGCAAGCAGGGATGAGATGCATGGATTGAAATGCAACATATAGTTTGTCCCAGAAAGATAATGAAAACCTTCTAACAACTTAATAAAATTTATTTACATATGTTGTAGCAAAGTTGTGAACGTGGAAAAAAATAGAACGTTCTTTAATGTGCTCTTTGCAACTAACACATGATAAATTATTTGTTTATCAAAGGCATTATATAATTATACGAGAACTGTAGTGTACTAGCCTCTGGTCTTCATTAACCTTTTGTTGTCTGAGATTAGGGGATTTAAACTCTCTGGTAGTAATGAGTTGGTGGCCACATTTTAATATGAGGCTAACAGTATTAATGTTGAAGAAATCAAGTGTTTGGCTAGCTAGATACCCTCATGTGCCATTACAGTAGTGAGTGCCCAGCCAGTGAAGGTTGGCAAGAATTCTTAAACTCACAGTATATCAAGAAGTTAGTTGAATAAAATATTCAGCTGATTTCTGGACGCCTGTGTAGAACATTTGTGTTTATTCAGTTGCAGCCCAGGTTTGGTAATGTGATGTAAACCTGTTCATACTATTGTAGAAAATATCTTGAGCTGTTACACTTAATACAACAATGAATAGGAAGGTCCATCAAGTGTAACGAGTTTAATAGAGACCATAAAAGTTTGTGTCTCCATGTTTTTGTTACTGGTCATCAAAAGGTATAACCAGGACTATGAAGAAATGCTTTGCCTTTGTAATGGTACATAAGTTGCCATGAAGGCATTTCTGCTAGCATTAGAAAGAGAGTGATTAAGATGTTGATGTCATCAAAGTAAATTCTAAAAGGTTCTGATGATGGTGTATAATACACAGAATTACTGGGTTTTTGAACTTTGTCTGCTGTCCGGTATTCTAGAAACTAGAAAAAACAACATTTTGGAAACTGGATCAGTTTCCTTCCTCAGGTAGTCCTCACTGGTCCAGTGGAGGTTAGCTCTTTCTAAGGGACCCACCAGAGCATGTATCTTCCCGCACCTCACCTGAGGATGGAAACATCCAGTTTCCAAAACATGTTTCCTAGTTGAAGAATACTGGATGATGGACAAAGTCCAATCAAAATCAGTTGTGTTGTTGAAAGTAATTATTTTAACATATACAACTTATTTTACAACATTAACATTTTAATCTCTCTTTCTAATGCATGTAGAAGTCCCTTTGTGGTAAGTTAGTGTTGGCTCAGCTTTCTGATGATGGCTGGCACTAGCCAAAACATGTGCAGGCAAACTTCAGTAGTCTCTTATTAAATTGTTTCAATTGGTGGGTCTTGCTACTCATCCATGTCTAATCTGCTCATATTCTGCAATCTTTAAGATCCCTCTTATTTTTTTAAAAATCAAGCAAGTTGCCTTGCCCCTCTGTGTATGGTTCCACATGTAGTGGGGCCAGTGTAAAAATTTGCTTGTATGAAATTAAATTTATGGGATTGTGGTCCCTATTTGTGTTCTCAGGGAAACCACTAGACTGTAAGACATTTAATATGAAAATAGGAGATATTTTACATAAAAGATTATCATGGCATTTGAAGCATCCACTTCTTGGTTCCAGACATGACATGGAAATTGCTGGAAAACATTTGAACAAAGGTTATATCTCTCTTTGTAAATTCATGGCAGTCCCATTGCCATTTGTTTGTATGTTATGTATAATTTTATCTCTGTGTTTAGTTTTTT